AACATATTATTATGATTATCTAATGTGAATGAGAATGCTGGTCGGCTGCCTATACTCCATTAGCAGTAACAGGAGTAAGTAAGTAACTAATGTGAACAACTACTTATCGTACATATAATTCTAAATTAAGTAGTTGGACGATAATTTATGAATGAACCAAGCAGAATTAATCTAGTAGATCTTGAGTTTTAGCGCGAAATTCATTCATCTCAATCAGTCAGTCAGTAAGTTACACCATAGGACCAGGCACATATATTATATCGGTCCAAGTTATCATACCTCAGCTAAACAGCATTTCAGCATTATAACTTATATCAATTCATGATAAAAACCTTAATGTAAATTTTAAATTCTAACATCTAACTGTGAATCTAAATCTTAATTATTCATAATAATTCTTAACCTTTATCTAATCCCTAGTAAATGGGTGAACATTCTCAAGATCACTAAATCATTGTTCAAAGACCTTACATATATTATAGTTTTTCTTTACCAAGTTTTTTAGATGCATAAAATTACAATCACTATTATTACTGATATACATTTTGAAAACTTTCTGTCAATATAAAGAATCGTTTGTTCATTTGAAACATTAAAATAAACCTTTGAAAAATATTTAAATATGTACATAGTTCAATTTTGTTTCCCAGTTCAATCGACCAATAACTTTGATAATAATGAAATAAATTGATATAATGTAACAGAAATTAATTAGATATTCTTTCATTAAATTATTAAACATCATATGAAAATCACAATATAAGATTTAACTGAATAAATCTTGATAAAACTTGTTTAATTTGTAGTAAAATATCTATTATTTCATCAGAAGGGGTTTTGTGGAGATTACAGTAAGTTCAATAGTTGAGATCATGGGTCGATTAAAGCTAGACCACTATAGAAAAACCTGAAAGCACTGGACGGCACTTTCGTCCTAGTAGGGGACTCCTCAGCAGTGCGAATCCATGATCTCGCCCCCGCGAGATTCGAACACACGACCTATCAGTCTCGTGCGTGAGTGCTTAACCACTAGACCACTGACACAACCGGCATCCAACAGTATTAATGTCTAACTGCAACTAATCCACGAAATTGAGCGACACATCCACCATTGTCATCAGTGAATTACTATCTCACAACAGACCTAATTGAACTTCACTGGTCACTGCTTCTCACTGGAAGTTTAGAAAATATCTCTTGAAGCCAGTCACTGGTTAGCATATGTTGATTATAATCAAAAGGAATTTTGTGGATATTATAGTAATTTCAATGGTTGAGATCATGAGTCATTTGAAGCTAGACCATCATTAATTAGTTGCTAGCCCACTATAAAATTAATTATTATTTAGTTTCAATGTTAGATAATTTATTTTCGGATCAATGAAGACAAGAATGGAGTTAAAAATTTAGGAAGGTTTTTGATAGATAACTGATAAATTGTTTTAACGTTGTTTTTTTATATAGTTGCTCGGTTTCACATGAATAAATAAAGCCAAAATGATCAATTCATTGTATGTTGTTACTTCATCTTAGTTACATATAACTTAATACCTTATTTGAATTAAAATAAACAACACATATTAGCCAACTTGAAGTTAATAAAATAAAAGTTCATTATAAGCTTAATGAATTATTTGAAACATGTAATCTTTGAAAAAGCTTGTACCAGATTGTCAGGCAAAACGTTGGATTTGCTTCAAATTCCTACACTGAGATTTTACAAATACATTCTTCTTCATGTAATCATACTGTTTACATAAGTTTTATAAGTTTGCAATAGTATTTCAATAAATCTAATACTTAACTTTATTATCCCTATTCATATTATGATAGTTTACTAACTATTGAGTACATGAAACAAAGTGAAAACCTTAAACATAGTTAAAAATAATCAATAAACTAAAGCATATTAACTCTGATGAAATTCATAACCGTTATAATAACTAAATAGTTCAAACGTGATCGTAATATTCACAAAGTTTAAATGATTAATTCCTAATTACTTTTGTAGAAGAAATAAACGATGTTAATAGTTTAAAGATCTCCATCATATTAAAAGACTAATATTTAGACGAATAATATTCATTTCGATAAATTCTCTTCAGGTTCTACAATTATATATCCAAACTAATAATCCGAGAAATGGCCAGGTTAAGGGCAAAGTACATCGTTTAAGGTATAAGAATTTAGGATTGTTAAACAAAATACAATAAAACTATTAATGTTGATATGATACATATAGAATGTTAACTTGAATCTGTATATATGTGAAGTGAAATTTAAGATCCATGATCCATGATGTTAATAGTGTCGTTTGTTTTTTATTTCAACTGATATGATGATTTCATGTATTTCACTTAATATTTTGTCATTTAAAAAGGGATAATCAGTCAATGTTACTTACTTAATCTTCTTCCATTTTAATATCCCTGAAATAACATTTTAATTACTTGTATAACCTTCATTATAACATTTTTACTTAAACTTAGTTATGATTTTACATATTAACCAATTTATTACTTTTAAATGAAATTCCGTTTAGTAATTTTCAAAATAAATTAATACTGAATAAGTAAAATTATGAAATTATTTGTGTTTAATCTCCGCCAAGAGTGTATCTTAGTATTGTTAAGGTAAAAAATAGCTAACTATTATTTCAGAACTTTAAGATGATACTTCAATTAAGAGTAGGTTGATTATGTAAATGCCCAATACAGGATTGGATGGCGGCTTATGCTCCTTCACGAGGAGTAACAGGCGTAAGTAAATCATTATGTAAAGTAGTAATTTGTAAGTATTTGGGAAAAAATTAATAACCGGCTACAGCGAATACACCATGATGCTTGTAAATATTTTTTTTGAATGTTATGTTTCAATTTTTTTTAATTTTTGAATGAACTCATTAATTAAATTATTCAAAAGCTCACTAATCTAGTTATTCCTACTTTCATTGTAATAAAGTATAATGATGTCGTAAGAAATACCCTAAAATTTCTCCAACTATTATACCAATATGATAGCATAGGTTTACTTGAACTATATATTGTTGTTGAATATTGTAAACCAGCTACGAAAATTTAGCGGACAGTAGAGCTCATATAAGCACGTAAGTTGAAGTGTTCTGTTAAAACACTAGTTTAAATTGACCTTAAGTGATCGGATAGAAGATTAAGTTCAAATAAAACCACTGGCTATCACCGAAGGCGATGTCAGCTAATGTAAGAGTAGATTAAGAGAAAATTAAACTCAGACTAACCAAGACATGATATCGATTCATGAAGTCACTTAGTGTTAGATAGATGTATAATAATGCATGTAGATTAACTGGTATAGGTCTAGGCGATTATCATAATGAATGGCTGAAGATGTAGAATGCTATGACTCAGTATCGGTGGGAATATTGAAGATTTATTCATTATTTGTTTCCCCTAAATCTTTAGTTTTGAAATTCTTATACCTTTAATCTTCAGAATTCATTCCTTCTTCTCAAGAAATTTTCTATAATTAATATTTTCTTCCACTACTGATACTATTGCTATCTTGATTACTCTAACCCTTTTCTTCATATTTTCATCTCGCTGTTCTGATATAGTGTAGCAGCTTGAGCTGACGCATATGTATACCAGGTTCAACGTTATTTCTGACTTAATAAGTGACTGATAGATTGTCGTTGTATTCTATTGAAATCAATTTTTAGTATATGGTTAAGATCATGAGTCAGTTGAAGCTAGACCAACATGGAAAACCTGGAAGCACTGGACAGCCATTTCGTCCTATTGTGGGCATCCACGACCTCGCCCCCTGCGAGATTCGAACCCAGGACCTACTTAACCACTAGATCACTGATATCAAGTAGTTATTAAACACATCAATAGAAAACGAAATAATAGTCAAGTCACAACTGCTCAATCTATCCTAGAAAGTTACAATTCTTCTTAAAGTCATTGAAGTATCTTTATTTCACAAGTATTGAAATATTAAGAATCTAGTTTAGTTGATCCACTTTGTTTTACTAAATCCTTTAGAATGGAAATTTGATTTAAGAAAAAAAGTGAAACTGTTTTTATCATTCACATGAACACAATCCTACCCGTCTATATATAATTCATTTTGTAACCAATTGAAGAATGACGAAATTCAATGATGATATTCTCTAAAACATGAAAAAAAAGTACGATTTGGATCAATTTTAATATGAATAAGCCATGATCTCTTTTTGTGTACAAATATTCAGTATAAATTCTGAAGGTGTTTTGTATCTAATGATTGATACGTTTATATCGCTTCATATGTATAATGTTAATAATAATAATAGATTGATAAAACTCATTAAAAATTACCAAATCATTTTATTTTGATTTCTGTCAACTCATTGTACATAAAATATGCTAATGTATCATACATTTTAATTATTTTCTGAATATTTGATTCTTCAGTCTGAATTCGTTTACATTTTTTATGATCCATTTTTCATCACAAATCAATATCGGTTTTAGAGTTATAATTCTTCTTTAACTTAATAATTTAGTCAATTTTCAATATAGGTAACCCTGCTTGAGCATCTGGGCTACCTGTTCCTGCCATCTAGATATTTCAACAAGTTATAGATTTTTGTTTGTTTTAATACATCATCATGTTTATGAATCGCATAACCTATTCTTCTGCGTTTCTGAAAAGTGTACAACCTTTCGTTGTCAAAGTTACAAAAAACTCAATAAGAGACAATGTGGTTGCTGGTAATATACAACGAAAAGAATGCACATTATTCAGATGTTCATTTAGTGAACTGCTAACATCTAAGTGGCGATCATTCGATATTTATCGCCAGGACCGACCAAGAAGAAAGAAATTTGTTGAAATTCTTTGCGCTGAAAATTCTATATTGTGCCAAAAATATAATATTGAATAAAGCAGATAATAATAATAATAATAAAACAGTAAATTTACATGTGGCGCATATATATTCGGTGCCCTCTTGTACCAATATTTATGTGTTCAAATAAATAAATAAAATTCACATAATTCTGAATCAAAAACCAAATAAAGAATGTATTAAGAATAGTCTATTTCAGGAGTTTATTTGAGCAGATAAATCATTAAAGATAATGAAATTCAGATGGGATTGGTATAGTCAATTCAATTTCTTTGTGTTTCAGCTTACATAGTTCATACAAATATTGGTAAGTTAAGCTAATAGATAAAAAAAAGAATAAATAGATTAGGCGATAAACAGATAAGAGCACAGATGAAGAATACACAAAGAGTACAAGAACAATACTAAACAAGGATACGGATAAAAGTGATTTATATGTCACATACTGTCAAAATTGTTAATACATGTTCAAGAGTAAAAATAACATAGCCACTAATGAAATACTAAAATGATGATAGTTATTTTTTTCTAATCTCTACTCAGAATTCAAATAAAATCTTACTCAAAACTCAAATGCCTGTTGATGCCGAAAATATTATTTGAACACTGAGTCGGAATTTAATGGTAATCATTTATTAAAAGTCAAATGGATATCCAGTGTCATTTATTAGTAACTGACTAATTCCTGAACTGTTCAACTCAATAAACCAATGTTTTTTTCAAAAATAATGTTATTGGTGATGAAACTAATTCCTAAAATATTTAATAAACAAAATTTATTCAAATGAGTACGTTAGATGATATTATTGAACATTGGTCTTATTTTATATTAGAAGCTGTCGATTAATGACGACTTCATGTGGTCATGACAAAAGATAAATTATGAAAGTTGATTGAGTACTTCGTCATGTCGTTTGATTTTTTTATTTTTCGTTATTGATGCTCTTGATATTTTATTATCTATAGTCTGTAATTACGGTGATTTCAATTATAACTACCTTTTATCAATCTACATATAAATTTATAATAGTTCGATAAAGATACATTCAATTTATTTTAATTTCGAATCCATAAAATTCTATTTTTTATCTAAATCAACAGTAGACAAGTGTCCATTATATGAAACTTGACAACAACAAAACATAACTCATAGTTTTTCGGTGAATAGATAACCTAACTGACAAAATTAAAATAATTTCAATGGTTAAGATCATCAGTCAGTTGAAGCTAGACCACCATGGAAAACCTGGAAGCACTGGGAGTTAGAAATCAGCACTGTTGGATGCCGACCGTTTCAGTGGTCTAGTGGTTTAGTGCTTGCGCGCGAAACCAGTAGGTCCTGGGTTCGAATCTCGCAGGAGGCGAGGTCGTGGATGCGCACTGCCGAGGAGTCCCACGATAGGACGAAACGGCCGTCCAGTGCTTCCAGGTTTTCCATGTTGGTCTAGGTTCAACTGACTATAATATCCACAAAACCCATCTAATATTAAAAGTAAAAGTTTTAAACAACTTCGATTTAAATCAATTAGAAACAATAGATGATCAGCAATTGGAAATAAAAAAAAATAATGATACGTTTAAATGAAAAATAAATTGACTGAAATTATGCTGAATAAAAGAAAATAGTCGATTTTCACTTCATTTATAAGGGTATATATTTTCTCATTGTTGATATTAAAGAATTCAATTAATCAGTCTATATTAGGGTATTTACATTTTGAACAGATTCCCATGATATTATCACTTAATTGTAAGTTTCTAGTAAAACTAGATAGTAACCAGCGATGGAACACAGAAAACTAATCAATTGCAGTCCTTAAAACTAACAATTAAAAAAATGAAGACCTTTTAAAATCAAGTGAAAACTTCTTATTTTTTCAATATACTCTCGGTCAATTTCTGCCTTATTTAGACGTATTATTACTGTTTCAACTGGTGAATTTGTCATAGTTACTGGTTAGAATTTTATTCTTTTCGTCAAATGCTTCATTTCTTTAACTAAGTACACTGATAAAGAAGGAAGGCGACTCAGCAAAGAAAATTTGCTTTCAGACGAATTCGTCTGTTTAGACTGTACACTATTATATATTGTTACTTTGATTTACAAAACTCATTTCCGAACATTATCCTATCTGGTTGTCCAAAGGATTACAGAAGTAAATCAAAAGCAGTTTTGGAGTACCTAGCCAATCATGGTCAATCCGTTTCACCAGAATCCTCCTTTCGAAATATGTATACGTTGAGAAGAATTGGATCAATAAGAATGCAAATGAAAATCTTATGTACAGAAGAGGTTATTGCTATCCACCAATTTAAGCCTAACCTTTGCATACAAAAAGTGTATGTTCAATCCTCCATTCTTCCATGGCCCCAACTTCTTTTTCTACCTCTCATAATCTGTCATTCTGATTTATTCTTATTTACATAACCATTCCTGGCCTTTTCCAATTATTTTCACGACTATTAATCAGCAATTATTACATTTTTAATAGTTCTGTTCCTAATAGCTATTAAATGGATGATTATTTTATCCTACTACCTTTTCACTAGCCCATTATTACATAATTTCCTTCCAATATCTGAATTTCAATTCTTAAACACATACCACTTCAAGTTTTTTAATTGATTAGCACCTTTCTAATTCACTATAGAACACTATTTTAGCAAATAAAATTGACCATATATACGATTGTCAAGCTTCAGTTAATAAAATCGTTGAAAAGAAAATTTCTTCGTTGAATTACCTTCCTACTTCTTCAGTGATACAATAGGTCTCTTTCATATAAATACATTTGATTTGTGCTGACATTCTGTAGAACATTCACCTCTGTGAACTAGGTTTTTGTGAGCTGATCAAGAATTAGATAAAGTTAAACTCATTAGAGTGGATATCTAGTTAGTGAAATATGTTAATCGACATAAATGTTTCTCAGTTATTCTAGTTATTTATGTGAAAGGTAAAATATTGACTGATTGATTTGTCAGCCCACTAATTATAAAATAAATTTATTTTTTCTTCCTTAAATAACCAACAGTTCATCATTATTTTACTAAGTTAGAAAAGAAGGAATAAATGAAATGTAAAAACATTCCCTATACATATCTTTCATATAACACTTCTAATCTCTGAACTTATTTTCTATTTTCTTATATTTATAGGTTTCTGCGATTATTATTGACTGTATTCTTCTGTGGTTTCGTTTTGTGTCAAATGGTGAATAGCCAATACAGAGAGGCAGAGTTTAATCATGCAGATCCTGATGGATATAATGCATTATATGAAGAAGATCCTAATTACATTCAAAAACGTGTTCAATTTCTACGTCTCGGTAAAAGATTAGCCAGGAAATCTGCATATCCTTATGTTGGTTAAACATTATGCTGATTTCTTTAAAAGATGATAAAAAACAACTGTTTAACAAAAATACAAATTTTTAAAATGAAACTAAATTAATATATAAGTAATTATTTACGAAAGTCTGTCTTTTTATTCTAGTAATCGGTGTAGCATACTTTTTCATCTTATTTTCCGTAATAATTATCTAACCATCATATAACTTAATTATGAATGTAGATATATCTTCTTTAAAATGTACTCAATATTACGAATGAAGAAGACTTAGTCTTATCCATCATCAAAACAAGAATAATTACATAAGGATTATGAAGGTTAACAAATAAAAAGAGGCTAAATTCGATACTATACTCTTCAACTCCACTTTTAATCATATAACTGATCGGTTCATTGAAATGATTTGATTTTGGTATCTTGTCATTGTTAGAATCATTGACCAATGTCATGTGTTACTAATCCATTAGTGCTACTAATACAATTCAATCTACCATGTCGTAATGTGAAAACTATTCTAGGTGATTCAATATTGTGTTTACTAAATTGAGATGATAATTATTTTCAAAGAAAATTCTGAACCTAGATCTAACGCTAGTTGCATGTGAGCTAGCTCTATAGTAACGCTTTAGTCTGTCAAACCATGTGATGCGGTCTCGAACCCAACAAAAACAAAAGTTACTTCAATGTTGCATATACGCCTTGTTGAAGAGTATCAACCGGAGCGAAATCCTAGATCAAAGACTTCCTTCTAATTACACACAATCGCCTGAAATATAAATAAATTTAATTAACACTGAAATAATATTCTAAATATTTTTAGTAAGTAATAATTATAATTATAAACTTATTGAACTATATAGTCATTAGAATATGAAAATCCATGCGTACAGAAATTTAATCATTTAGAAAACTATAATTATTCCTACTATAGTACGTGAATTGTCTGTACTTACTATTCTCTCAAATAAAAGTTTTGAATATCTCGTCAGTTTACCTGTGTATTTCTTCCATATTTATATTGGGTTTTTTATTTCTAACACTCTTATTCCACAAACATTCGTTCACAAAATGTCATTTATTTAAATTCAAACTATACAAAATGACTTTAAACTTAACCTCATTGCACATGTTAATGGCAATCAGCACTCAGTAGCTAATTGGATAACGCGATGGCGTTTGAAGTGAACGGTAATGGGTTCAAGTCTTGGTGTAAACATCAACTTTCAGACCTAGATGCAGCTGACGAGTCCGAAACAGGACGAAACGCCCATCTTGAATTCCACTACTAGCCATCATCTATCTTTGTTTATTATGTCATTCATTTGTTCGTGTTTTGAATATCTAGGTAAGAAGATAAACAATTTATATCAACTAGGTGCATAAATCCATTCATTTAATCAAATAGAATCATTTGGAAGAAAAAAAACCAAATCAAATAGATTCAACTGTTTATGAAAAAAAACCTTCCGAAGATTTTATAAATTTTATTTGTTTTACACTCATCTTACTTTGGAAGATGAAAAATCAACATTTTTTGTGTTTATAGTTTAACTAATACGGTATAACGTTTAAATTGATGATTTAATATAGAAAACTGATATAATGGTTGATCGTCTAATAATTACTTGATCTTACACTGTTCCAAAGATTATGATAAATAGTCAACAAATCACATTCATGAATAGATCAGATAGACTTTTATAAATATATTTTAGTTGTTTAAGATTCAACATTATTTCAGTATGGAACACATTAATCAGACCTACAACTAGTATTTGGTTGATAAATTTGTAATAAATCTTAAATGGATCAAGTCATCATATACTGATAGCATTAAAACGATGGATAATTTGGTATAAGTATTTAAAAGTACATTATAATCAATATACGTGTAAGATGAATCGAGTAAAATTGTACAGGATACAAATATACCAAAAGAGATTGATCGATTGCAGTCCTAGACATCTAAGAAAAAATTCAAATAACCAATAAAAATGAGTCTAAGTGCACCAAATTCCACAAATCAGAGGCTATCTGTACTCAGTAACCAAATGGATAATGCGTTGAAGTTTGAAGTGAAGAGTATTAAATTTGAATTTAAGAGTGAATATCAACTCTCCGATCCAGGTGTATTCAGTCAACGAGTCCTAAATATATGACTTGTTCAGCGTCCTGCATTCCACTACCAAACATAATCCACCACTTCTATAAAACTTGTGATAAAATAGCTAAATAGAAGACATCCTTACAGGACGTACATATGCTGAAAAAATTGATTATTTGTAGTTTTAAAAATCTGGTTAGCGTTTTTTTAGCGAGTAAGTTTTCTACGGGATGGAGTCGCTAACCTCATGCCCGACCCTCCTCCTTTACCCGGGCTTGGGACCGGCAGTAACTCTAGAAGAGATACAGGCGGAGTTGGAGCTAAAGAGCTACTCTCTCCCTTCCTCTTTCTTCTGGTGGTCGATTGGATTATGAAGACCTCGACAACTGAGGGAAAACACGGCATACAATGGACAGCTCGGAACTAATTGTCCTAGCCCTTCTGACCAATACACGCGAACAAATGCAGATAAAGACAGCCAGTGTAGCAGCAGTCTCTGCATCAGTAAGCCTCAACATACACAAGGATAAAACCAAGGTTCTCTAATAAAACACGGAAAACGGCAATCTAATCACACTTGATTGCGAAACTCTGGAAGACGTAGAATCTTTCACATACTTGGCAAGCATCATCGATGAACAAGGAGGATCAGATGCAAATGTGAAGGCGTGGATTGGCAGAACAAGGGCCGCAGTCCTACAATTGAAGAACATATGGTACTTGTGTTCGTTGGTATTGAATGTAACCCTTAAACTTCGTATACAGTTCGTTTTGATAACCATCACTAGATAACTCCGCAACGGTACATTAATCAGAAGGCGAATACGAAGTGTTGATTAAGTCTATTGTGGGACCACACACAGATATACAAAGCAAACATGAAAGAGTTGTGCCGAAAGGCAAGCAGGCGAGTGAGCGAGTGAGTGAGTCAACGAATATGAGTACGAGTAAGCGAGTACAATTAAGCGAGAGAGAGCAATGAACATGAATAGCATGGACATATATATACATAGTGAAATGAATGAATCATCGAATCAATTAAGCGGTTAACAGTAAGGCTAGCAGCGTGAATAAATACGTAGTCAGTAAGCAATGCTCAAGCATACATGTTCATATATTCGCAACAATAATAAAGATACAATGATATAGATAAGTTGTTGTTATACGGATGACTCAGTTCGTTAATGAGTTAATAAAATGACTTATTCGAATTAAATGTGAACAAACTTAATTGCACGTGAGTTCCTACAAACTCAAAACAACTTTCGACCAATATCAAAGTCAGAATCTTCAATACGAACACCAAGATAGTTCTACTGTACGAAGCTGAAACGTGGAGAACTAATACAACCATCATCAAAAAGGTACAAGTAGTTGTCTACGCAAGATACTCAACATCCATTGGCCGGATTCCATCAACAACAGCCCACTGTGGGAGAGAACAAACCAGCTTACAGCTAAAGAAGAAATTAGGAAAAGTCGGTATAAATGGATAGAACATACATTTCTGAAATCATCAAACTGCATCACAAGGCAAGCGCTAACTTGGAATCCTGAAGGGAAGTGGAAAAGAGGAAGGTCAAAGAACACATTACGTCGGGAAATAGAAGCAGATATGAAGAGGATGAATAACAAATGGAAATAGCTGGAAGGGATTACCCAGGACAGGTTTGAATGGAAAATGCTGGTGAGCGGCCTATGCTCCTTCACGAGGAGTAACAAGCGTAAGTAAGTTTTAAAATCAATGGGAAGGTTCAAACAGAGATTACAAATAAAGTAAGAAAATAGCTTTCTGAAGATAAGAAATATAAAATTCTAAGCAATCATGGTTAGCTTAAAACTTTTAAAAAATTAAGAAGAATCATTCTGTCAAAATTTAGGCAGATTTTCTATCCAAATAATTGTATTCTTTACATTTACATTATAACTTTACAGAAGATGAAATCGTGTATTATGCTCTATCTTATCTTATTTCTTCTACACTTATTCTCTATTATTTTGAGATATGTGATAGTTTTAACTAATACACCTTTACACATAGTATAATTATCAATTTATTTACACATAAAACATACAAATGACACCTCCTATATTTATTTCAAACTAAACGACCGCCCAGTACTTCCAGGTTTTTCATGGTAATCTAGTTTCAATTGACTCACGATCTCAACTATTAAATTGAAAATTATCTAATTATTTTAACCATTCATAGGTGGATATAGCAAGTACACTTATACATATCCAATTACTCAGTGTAGTAAATACTATATATATATATATATATATATATATATATATATATATATATATATATATATCATGCACAACAGAAATTGTTGGCTTTTTATACATTGAATAATTTAAATATAAAGTGATTGTTTAAACTGACTATTATATTAATTAAGTCTTATTTCGGAAAAAGGACTTATTTTAAAATCGACTCGATAATCGTGAGTAAAACTTTAAAACTCAATGTTGATGCCATTGGTTACTTTAATTATTGCGCGCAATTATAAATACTGTTTGGTTCAGTAAGTTATTTACAGTTAATTTGATTTCATTACATAAGTTTATGTAAAAACAAACTATTGATGTCATAAAATGCTCGATTTTTATTACGGTTATTAATATACTGTTTAAAATGTATGTGTCTTCACAAATGTTGAATTCATTATATCCAACGAAATAGTTAAGTTTACTTAACTCAGTAATAGTATCAATAATTGGAAATTTGAAGTAAATCAAGGGGATTATCAGTCAGTCAAACTTGACGAAAAACCTAAAACATCAGTACATCGAGTAAAGTTTCTACACCCCATTAGCACGGCGAGATGAAATTGTTAGGCCGAATCCCACAATAGTTTGGTTAATAACAGTATCAGAGAAGATAGGAAAGATTAGGCATCGAAGATACAACTAGAAAAGAAAGTATAAATTAGAGGAATAAAAGAAAACTATGAAGAATCCAGGAACTTGTGATCTAAGAGAAAGCAACGAGTCGATGCACTTACGCCATTGCAA